AGCCCTGTTGTACAGTGACAGTAACAGGCTGATAGCAGGTCAAATTCATATACTTATACTGCTTGCATTTAAAAAATACATTGCACATATACATAATATACTAATGATTACAGGGTGGCATTGATTTGTGTCTTTCACATCTGCCTAGTGTTCAGCTCCAATCACTGAAAGCCTTTATTTTTCAGTGTTTTATCTCATGAATTGTTATATTACCCCTAATTTGAATGGCTCCTTTCTCTGCTCTCCTCAGTAGACACCTCATAGAAGCGCAAGGTAAAGGTGCCCATACACCTGCGTGATCCCGCGATCGTACGATAATCGTCAGGTGTATGAGCAGCGTGCGACCGCATCTAATGTACGGTCACACGACTTTCGTATTCCGAGCATGCTGGAAAACCCGCCGAAAATCATACGATTTTCAACGGGTTGGTGGCCGCATGGGGTGCTGCCCGCTTAGCATTGCAGTCATCGGCAAGCCCTCCCCCGGGGAGGGCTTGCGATGATCGCAAGTACGATCTGCATGTCCAAGATGGGCAGATTGTACGAAATTTTAATGACCTTACAACCATTGCACAACGAAAGTCGCGTGATGGTTGTAAGGTGTATTGGCAGTTTTAACACCAACCAGATACTAGAGATATTTTAAGGAACGAGGTCTTTCTGAAGTGTTATACACAAAATACCACACAAATCAGTAATATAACATGCATGCAGTAAATTTAGGCAATCCTTGTGATAAATTGTTAGGGTCCATTTACATTTTTCCGGTGCATGATTGTGCATTATGTTGCATCTTAAAGTGCATTGCTGTATAGACAGTCCACTGAAATGAATCGGCTGCCAACACACTCAAAATCATGAGTGCCACAAATGTAACACATTTGCACGGCAATCCCGGCACTAGATGGAGCCAACGAGCATAGGAAATTCTTATGCTCCTCGGCTCCATCCAGTGGTGAGAATGCTATGCGAATGGCATGTGCCTAACCAGGCAAAAAATGTTAAGCCATATGCTGGGTGGATACCGTTCGCATAGGATTCTTGCCACTAGATGGAGCTGAGTAGCATAGGAATTTTCTAAGCCCTTTGGCTCCATCTAGTGGCAGGAATGCTATGCAAATGCCATGCCCCCTCTATATGGCTGGACAGAAGATTTATAAATTGGCCCCTTTAAATGTTATCAGGAGATTATAGAACATAATGGACTTGGTTTCATCATAATTGTTGTAATTACATATCGTAGCCTACAGGTGTCGCTGTCAGAATGAGGAAATAATGAAAAGTACTTTCTGTAATGGTATCCAGCTTCTTATAATATTTCTTATTTCTTCTGAATGGTAATTGAGAGCTAATGGCTGGCACATTATGGAAACATAAATCACATGTTTGTGCATTTTGTCTCTAGAATCCAGCTCAGTGTACTCAGGGGCTGGCTACCTGTTGTAGGTGTAAATAACAGATCAGATGCTTGGATGGATGCCTGGTCTGTTTAGGGAGCAAGGGACACCCAGGTACTGACAGACACAGTTATTGTGATAATTGCAGTGATAACCTGTGAATGAACCCTTCCTGTGTGAGTAACAACATGATCAATGTGTTAGCCCTTTATAGTAACACATTTATTACATTGCATTATGACAGCAGTAGTGGGCAACCAAGTACATTTTAGAGGGATCACTTGCGGCAAATCTAATGGATCCTATATAGGTTTGATTTTGTATCGCGAAAACAGAAGCAATCAAAATATTATTTTAGATGTAGTATTTTTAATAGTTTCTATTGAAATTTCAGTGAGTGCAGGAAGTTTGATTTTACGCCAGCACTGCATGCAGTAGAGCATTCTGTATTGTCAGTCAGCGTTTTATGAGCCGTCAAATCACTCCCTTGGCAGGGGGCTAACCTGGAGGGGAGAAGTGAGACAATTTTTCAATTTTCTTTTAGATGAGCATGTAATAGAGATCAGCTTGTTGCAAATAAATCCTATAAATATGAATAATGTTTTAAAATCCTTGTTAATATTTATAAATTGTAATTATATATACACATGGGGCAGATCTCGTTCGCACATTGAAGAGCTGTGCAAACGGTTTATAAATCAGGTGTCTGAAGATAGGTCACCAGCACTCAGCAATTCAACGTGCAAATAAAGTTTGTTTTATTTCAGAACACATCACATAGGTCAATAAGCTAACATATCAGGCCCACATATAGGTCAACGTTGGCCTATTGACCTATATGGTGCATTTTGCAATCAAACAAGCTTTATTTGCATGTTGAATCGCTGACGACTTTTCTTGAAGCACCTCAGGTTTTGCACGGCACCATCTGTTGCAGTCACCACAAGCACCATGTTGTATTACTGGTCATAACACTGTATGGTGTGCAGCTGGTACCTACATCGATTCACAGTTTATAATTCAGCCCCAATGTTTGAACTTTACTGCTCCTTCTCACAATACAGGTCTACAAGCCAACTGATTAACCAAAAACACTTATTAAAGAGGTGCTCCTGGATTTGTAAAAACTGCCCCCACACTGCAAGGATTAACTGCTCGTTTTGGTTTTGGGGCTAAAATAAAGACAATATACTTACCTGATCCGCCTGGCTGCTAGATCAGTCCCCACAGCCTTGTCTCCACTGGGCTCCGGTGGTCTAATAACCCCTGATGTCATCATGTCTATTGCAAGTGCATTAGATGTGTGGGTACCTAGGGACATTTCACTGCAAGAGTGGAGGGGGAGGCAGGTGAGAGGTCACCACCGCAGGACTGAGATCAGGTGAGTATAATTTCTTTATTTTAGCCCTTAGAGAAAAACGAGCAGCCCCACTGCAGGGGTTAATCTTTAAGTCAGACACAGCTTTGGCTGATTTACTAATAGTGTCAAGAATCTTCAGACAATAAATTGTGTGAATCTTCACTTCAATTATCCAATGATGTGAAAAGCACATTGATGGTATATTTGAATACCCAATCATATGCAGGTGAAATAAGCAGGAATTTGCTTTTCCCGTGATTTGGAGACTGAAGATTCTCAACTCCTTTAGTAAATTAGCCGCAACGGAATTGCACTGCACTACTGAGACCTCCCTCTTATATTATGGAAGAGGAATCCTGTAAAAATGTGAAAGCCAAAAATCTCCTGCAGGATTACAGAATATGAGCTCACTGAAAACACACTGAGAGAAATGTATGAAAACTGGAGCAGATCGGATCTGGAGCAGTTGCCCATTGTAATTAGCTTCTGTCTTTAGTTTGTTCTGATAAAGTGATAATAAAGTCATAATGTATTTAGGCAATTTCAAATGCTGATTATATCACTTACTATGTGGCCGAACGAGGAAAACTGGCTAGTGTATGGCCAGCTTTAGGTCCCATTCACACTGAATCTGTTGTGGTGCGTTACCATCTCTTTTTTTTATCGATGGTAACACAAGGGCAACGAAAAATGAATGGGGTGAATGGTGACAGTTCACACCAGAGTGTTGCATTGCATTGCCATACGTTGCTCTGAAAAAAAAAAGTAGAGCATGCTTTCATGAATCCCCTTTCATAAAGGGGGCACCCCGATGCGTCCCCGCACTTGTGAATGAGAAAGGGGTAGTTGTTATCTCAAGAATGAGTGGACAAACAGCGCTCTTGAAAAAGAATTGGAGCTACGTAGTGTGCTGCCCTGAAAAACAGTGGGAGGACCTGTGCTAGTACACCTTGACAATATCAATGTCTAATCATCCACCCTACTAGTTTTGCGCCCTGTTGTGAGTTTTTTTTAGTTGTTATCTCAACCCATTCACCCCCCCAAAAAAATCAAATTGTAAATAAACACACAACACCGTAAAAAAAGTAATCGATGGACTTTTGTATAAAAGAATTGTCAAAAACCTTTGTTGTGTTTTATTTTGAAATAAAATACTTTTTCATGGTGTTGTGTGTTTATTTACTATTTGATTTTCTTCTTTTTGGTGATTCAGTAGGGGTATTAACTACCCCTTACTCATTCACGAGGGGGCAGCATCTAGGAGCCCCAGATTCAGATAAGCCCACCTGCCCGCAGACCCCTACAACCAGCCAGGGTTGTAGGGAAGAGGTTCTTGTCCTCATTGACATGGGGACAAGATGCTTTTCCAGTGGGTTCCCCCCCGGCAAAGCACCCTCTCCATGTTGAAGGCATGTGGCCTGGTATGGTGCAGGGGGGTGCTAGCTCGTCTCCCCTCTTTCCTGCTCTGCCAGGCTGCTGCTCAGATCAAGGGTCTGGTAAGGAATTTTAGGGGGAACCCCATGCTTTGGGGGGGGTGGGGTGGGTTGGCATTGGGGTACCCCCTAAAATTCCTACCAGACCTAAAGGGTCTGGTATGAATTGGGGAGGGGACCCCACACTTTTTTTTTATAGACTGTCAAATGTTAAAAAGAAAAATGTCCCTTTTTTTTCTAATGTCACTTTGCTGCAACGAACATTCGTTCGTATTTGTCTAACCCATCCGAAATTAACAAACATTTAGGATTAGTCGAATCCCGAAATAACGAAACTGAACGAAACACATTATTTTTGCTGGCTTACATATCTAGGATATATTAAAGAGAACGAGCTGCATTCATTTGTGTATTTTATATCTGCCTGGAATTCAACTAAAAGAAAGAAAGACATTTCTAAATCTTTGTCCAGTATACATTGCCATTTTTTCAAATATTGCATAACATGACAGGAGATAAGAGTAGAGGCGAGCGGCAGTAATGACAAGGACACTGCTTATATTTCTCATTCTTTAACATTTACATTGTCCATTGATTCCTATCTCATCAATGATATCACTAATCATTTGCAAAGCATGACGGCCCCAGTGACCCGCCGTCTCCTCGGACAAAGTGTTCAAGTTTACAGAGACAAATTTACAGAGACAAGGAAGACTGACACTGTTCAAAGTCCTGGCTGCACCCACATCAATTTCAGTTAATCTGTAACTTGAACAGAAGGAGTTAATTAACAGGATATAAATAAGGGTACCAAGAGGTGCAGCCTTCCAGTACTCATCCTAAATCTGCTTCACCATGGCTGTAAGTTTACTTTTTGGAGTTTAGCTTTGGCGATCTCCACATTTCTTTTGATATAGGGTTCCTTTAAGAAGGTTCTATTTTGCTTTGTCATTTGTTTGATGCTTTTTTTGTCTTTTAATGTATGTTGCTGTGTGATTTCGGTAAGTTCTTATGCAGCTCTGTGAGTTAAAATACAATGCAATTCTATGTGTTGTCATTCATGCCTATGGACGATGCGTACAATGGAAACCTCTGGTGAGGGACAAATGGAGACTGCTATATCTGGCCTTTTCCTGAAAATCCTAGTTTCCTGGCTGGCTCTGGCTCCAATATGTACTGAGTCATTGATTTGGACTAAAGCACATTTAAACTCAAACCAAAAATTGTATATATTAGTTTAGCTGTGGTGGCTGCATTCATTTTATTTTCCTTTAGGCTGACCCAACACCTATCGATTATCTGCAGATTTTATATGGTCAGATGGAAACAGTGCAACAGATTCCTCCATCTATTCCAGGGATGTCCAAACTGCGGCCCTCCATCTGTGGTGGAACTACAAATCCCATGAGGCTATCTGCAGATTTTATATGGTCAGATGGAAACAGTGCAACAGATTCCTCCATCTATTCCAGGGATGTCCAAACTGCGGCCCTCCATCTGTGGTGGAACTACAAATCCCATGAGGCTTTGCAAGATTCTCATAGACATGACTCCTGGAGAGAGATGCTCAAAGGGATTTGTAGTTTCACCACAGCTGGAGAGCCAGAGTTTGGACATCCCTGATCTATGCTAATCTGTGTGGATGGAGGAGTCTCAATCTGGGTCAAACTTCAGTATCTTGCTAGTCGGCCCCGCTGGCTCTCCAAATACCTGAACAATCTGATTGGATGCAGTCTATCTAACCCTAAGGCCTCATTCACATGAGAAAAGGCCGGCACGTACAGCTCCCGAGAAGGACAGGTGCTGCGTGCGATTAGTACGCAGCCGATGTTCTTCTCTATGGGAGTACGCGGCCATACGCCTCCCTACGCTCACCCCAAGTGCAGGTCCGTACGGGTGCAGGTGTCCCGGCTCGGACGCAGAAAGGATCTATCCTATCAGTGTACGAGCACGGACACCCGCACGGACGTGCAGGGCTGGTGAGCGTAGGGCGGTGTATGGCCACATACTCCCATAGAGAAGGACAGGGGCTGCATACTAATCACATGCAGCACCTGTCCTTCCCAGGAGCGGCCGATACGGCCGTGCACGGAGCTGTACTTGCCGGCCTTTTCTCGTGTGAATGAGACCTAAAACATTAGCTGTCAAACCTAGACTACATTGACAAACTCAGTTCCTTAGAGAGTTAACCTATTGTTCACAAACATCCCATTGGCTGCTCAGTGAATTTGGTGAACTACAAATCAGTGGACTGCCAACAATTGGTTAAATCTCTCCTTAGGAATGGCTGTTGCTTCCAGTGCATTCTTAACTCCTTACTAGAGATTTACCCCTTGTTGACAAATTAATTCAATGTACTGCAACTGGGGCAATTGTCATCAAGGGGTTAAATCTCTCAGACTCTGGGAATTTAGATCTTTTATAGCCCCAGCATTATTCACACCCCACTTCTATAGGGAATCTTGGTAGTGTCCTGAGCGCACACTGACACACTTGTGTCACAAGGAGGCCACAATCTGATGATTATCTGCTAGATAGGGGACTGAAAACAAAATGCAGCCTCAGGTAAGCAGGTATGCATGTGGCTTACTGCTGAATATTTGTTTTACCTTTAGAATGGGATATAAATAATCCTGCATTTACACCTGAGCTGAGTGATTTTCAGTGAATTCCTTTAGCATTTTTTTGTTTGGGTGATTTGTGTGCTTAAATGTGCACTTTTTGTAATGTATTACAAGGGTTTTGCATGTGTATTTAAGCTTCAGGAATTATTTACCCAATGGAAAGCAGTTTACAGGCAATCCCATTAACGTCCATGAGGTCAAAATTGCCTACAAGTGACTGAGTGCTCAGATGTGAACAGGCACAACCTGATGCAAAGGGACTTTTAATGTTTAGTCTTGTTGCAAGTAAGGTGGCATGTGACAAACCATTTAAGTGTGAATGGGGTGAAAGTAGAACTGAAGCCAATTTTTTTTGTTTGGATAGAGTAAGAGAGGGTTATAACCCCTGTAGGCTTTTTTGCCATCTGTGTCCCATTTGGGAGATTTTCCTTCACTACCTGTCTGATAGCCGCAACAGAAAGTGCAAGGAAATTCCTCCAAAGAATGGGACGTCCCTGGTGATGAGTAGGGTCACATGAACTAGTGTCCTTGTTTAAAGATGTCCTCTCTATTAATGTTCTAATGACCATCCAAAAAGTGGGATTTTTTTTTTTCTTTTTCACTTTCAGTGATCAGTCACCAGGACAAATGGAGAGAATGAATCTCCCTAGCTGGGACACAGACGGCAATAAACACCTGACAGGCATTCTAATCCCTCTCCACTCCAATACAAAAAAAGTTTTGACTTTAGATCCACTTTTTAAGGCCCCTTTCACACGGGCTGATCAGGAGGGGATCTGTGCACAATGTAGTATTCTATCACAACATTGAATAAGCCTTTATGGTTGACATTACTGACTTAATAATTCACTTTTAGAAATAAATAACTAGCTTGTACTTCACTTCAGAGGGCACAAATAAAACTTTTCATATTCAAGTATAGTATGCCATCATTAGTGAATTGTTCCAGGGGTGTGTGTGATATGCCATGGAGTCCGGCTGTGTGTGGGATCTGCCGTGGATTCCAACACTTGCAGCCTCCTGTGTTTGTAGACATCCTGCACTGCAAGGACTCCCTCTTGGTTGCGCCTGTGCAGAAGAGCCCGATAGAATCCTATGGGGCTGTACTGTGCAGGTGTGGCCAAGACAGAGAGGACTTGAGGGATGTTGACAAATAAAAAAAAAAAGAGTGCAAATGTTGGATCTCGGTAAGTATGTGTATGTGGAGGGGCGGGGTGGGATCTGTTAGGTCAGGGAAGAGAGAGGGTAAAAAAAGGATGTGCTTTGTTTTCAAAGTGCACTTTTCCTTTTTGCATCAAAATGAGCTTGCCCACGCAGGGCAAATCTTTACTGGCACCCCATAAACAGCACACACTTGCTACTCTGTTCAACCAGTAGGAGTGAAGGAAATGGTACTTTCAGGTATAGGAAAGCATGTAATAGGAAATAGCACTCCGTATAGGAAAGCACTCCGTGACAGTGCTGGAGATTCCCAATTGGCTACTCAAGCACCCAGCGCTAATACATCCTCAGCCCTGTATATGCTTCAAGTCCGTACTTGGCGCTTACACAGGGCTAACTCTCTATGTTCCTGATGGCCACACAGAGGGCTGGGGGAATGAAAGAAAGGTATGCATGTGCAGCTGGTGGGGCCTGCACGAGCAACACAAGTTCACTTTAAACTGTCAGGTGGTGATTGGGGCATCCACATTCTCACAGCAAGTAATATCTAAACTCCGAAATGCGTTACTTTGTGGGTCTTTCCAAACACCAATTCGCATAAACTGGAATCTTCTGACTTGGCTCTGCCAGGTTTTATTAGGTGCAAGCCATAGTATGGACTTCAGGAGGTGCTGGGTAACCAGGCCATGTGGAGTCCATCTATAGATTGCTGGAGCTGGACATTTTGGAATTGACGGAATTTATGTCTTGCTTACTATTCCTTAAAGAAGAACTCCGGGGGGAATTATTAAAACGTGAAGTGAGGCTACCTCCGCACCGCAAAGGTTAAGTGCTAGTTTATGTCAAGGGAGGAAAATAAAAAAGTTACTCACCTGATCCTCTGAGCCAGCTGGTTCTTAGGCCAGTCTCGGGAGCCTCTCTTCCTCTCCTTTCCAGCGGTCTAAGGTCCTGTACATCATTATGCTCTATACACAGTGCATAGGATGTGAGGGAACTGAGGAACATTCCTTTGCTGTAGTGTAAGAGGAGACAGGCTGGAGGGAGAGCTGTCACAACCAGCCAGCTCCTAGGATCGGATGAGTATACATTTATTTTTCTCCCCAGACCAAAATGAGCAGTTAACCCTTGCAGTGTGACGGTAGCCTCGCTGCACAGGATCATTTTCCCTGGAGTTCTGCTTTAAAGTGTATTTCAATCTTAGAACAATAATGCAATCCATTTTAGCTTACAGGTTTTTAGATATGGTGGCTGCACTAGTTTTCTTTTTTCAGGGTTTTGTTCCTTTTATGGTCTAGGTCTAGATCTAGTCTTGCAATGCCTCATGCGTTCCTCAACAGCTGCAGTGCCAAAGTTGCCTACCCCTGCTCTAGGCTGCTTGCTCTGCATTTGGACTACAGAACACCGCTCATCTCCATATCAGGGGAGGTGTTTTGCAGTTTAGAGGTGACCTGGGCAGGGCTCATAACCCCGTGTGGGATTTTGAGCACAGCAGAGGCACTGTACACGAAGTTGAGAGACGGTACATATCTGGCTGGTTTAACAGGTATTTTTTTTATTTTATTTATTTAATAGCCCAAAAAAGAGAAGTTCTTTGTATGGGTAAACCGGTCACTTTGCCCTCTTCCTTTTTTATGTCACCTTTACCAACTAGGGTTGCCACCTTTTCTTCAAGCGAAACCCGAACACTCTATCGACGTTTGGATATTTTTTTGGGAGAATAGGTCGTAGCTTATTTATATGTAAATAGCGACGCCCATTCATATGTAAATATCACAGTTGAGACTATTTTCGGTGCGGGGCCAGGAGCCCCAGCTTAATTTTGGTTGCCCATGTCTGCCTGACATCTTGTGTCTGTGTGTCTGCTGCCATGAAACCCAGACACAGCATTCAAAACCCGGACAGGTGGCAACCCTAATACAAAACCATCGATCACCGAAATTTTCCAGCCTTCCATTCCAATGTAGCAGGTGGTAGTATGGTACACTTATCTCTTGCACACCTGTTTGTGATTATACAACATATCATAGTGTCTCTTTTATGTACTTAATATGTCAATAAAGAGAGGGAGAGAGCAGATCCTGACACGTCATGTTTTATTGCTATTCTATTTTCTATTATAAACTTTTATTGTTGCTATTCTATTTTCCAAGCTACACAATCTGTTACATATATTTAAATATTTACACTTGCGTTTTCGAGCAAACAGACGCCCTGAGGATTCCAGCCTAGCTCAGACATTGATGGTCTTCTCATAGAGATAGTCATCCATTTATGAGGCTGCCTTTAAAACAAATAGCACCTTGAGTTGCAGTTGTATGAAACTCAAACTTTTTTTCAACAACGAATCAGATCAAACAAGTATACATTGCGTCCGTTCACCGATCACCTCCCCGTACTATGGGACCTGGAGCGATGCCGATCACATCACTTCCGGTTCCATCACCTCCGGTTCCATAACGTTCAGTCCTGAAGCCTAGCAATAAGCTATTGAAGTGCGCTGTGCACTTCAATAGCATATTTTAAGTGTAATCCCCCCCCCCCCCTATGTGATAGCAATTAAAGTTAAAAAAATAAAATAACAGTTTAAAAAAATATAAAATGTAAAAATAATTTAACAAAAATTTAAAAAGCCCCCGGGAGCACACGTCTTTGCGTAAACACGCGTTGGGTGCGCCTACATATGAAAACGACGATTGCGCTACTCATGTTTGGTATCGCCAGAGTGAGAGCGATAATTCTATGACCTGTGGAGCCTTTAAAAACGTAGTCTATGGAATTTTTGGGATACTGAATTTTGTCTTGAGTTTCACGGACGCACACAATTTTGAACCTGGGCATGTTGGGTATCTATTTACTCAATGTAACCTCATCTTTTATAAATTTGCGGCTAGTCCACCACAACTGGCCTAAAAAATGCATCTACACCACTTTTGCTGATACAGTGAACTAATAGCATGGTAGTGCATTACGATGTATTGGTATAGTGCTCAAAATGAATGGCATTGCACCATTGTATGTGAGTTGCCATGAAAAGGCCACATATTTGTGAAGCAGCACTGATCGGGTGGTGAAAATTAAACTAGATTCATAAACTTCACAATTGGTTTGATTAGTGCTGTCAAAGTTGAACAGAAAAAAGAAGATTCTGCAATAAAGTTTTCTGAAATACTTGCGAGAGAGAGAGAGATGGATATATTTGACCTGGGGCAGATTGCTATTTTTCTTACAGCCTCTCAAGATTTCTCAAGAGGTTTCAGGACAAGGTGAAAAAGCAGAGGTGAAAGTAGGCATGCCGTCATATCCCCTTTGAAATGGGTATCTAAGCCAGGAAAACCTCAGCTAATTATTAAGGTGGCAAATCCTAGAAATGGCATTAACTAGATTTTGAAACTTGCTATGAAAGCCAAGTTTTCATTTTCAGATGATCAGTGCACATTGTTAAATGAACGTATGGCATCAAGTGACCGCAAAAAAAAAATAAAAAATTGAGACAAAAGCTGTGTACTGACTGCTTCCAAATCCTCTGTTATATTTGGGGGGCCAGAGGTCCCTCTCAACAAAACCCTAGTGAGGCAGGTCAAGTATTATCAATCTCTCCACCATTATGTTTAAGAATATTTTGGTATCTTGAATTAACAATGAGATTGGGAGGCAAGACAGAAATTGACTTTTACACTATATTAATGAGGATGATATTTAATATTTTATTGAAGGAAGAGACCTGCCAATGCATAAAATAAAACACTACTATACCCAGCAGAATTATCCCTGACTGACATAGCCAAGTTAAAAAATGGGTTACCTGGGACAAACCTAAAAACCTTGGTCTTCTTGCCACCTTTCTTTAGCATCAAGCGGTCTGCACCAGACAAATTAGCAGTCCTTTTTGAAGTAGATTTTCTCTTGCAGTGGAATGAAACATTTCAAATCATTTAGTGCTTCCCAATTCCTCACTAGACATCTACAACCTTCTTTATGAAGGCCTTCGAGTGCTCTTTTGATCCTGGCATGAGGACACCACACATCAATATCAAAGAACACCCAACCCTAGATATCTGAGGTACCAGACTACTGCCGAAGGACGGTCTATTCATTGCCACCTAATCTGGAACTCCTAATTCTAACTTAATTTCAAATGTTGGTAAATGTAGGGCTGTATGTACTTTTTCCACGTGACAAGTCTGCATTTCGGTTTATTTAGATTAACAATGAAACACCTTGTCAGTTTTATCTGTCATTTGCTCTAGAATATTTTCTTTATCTGTAAGCATTTGTTTACATGAAGATTTAATTTTTGCCGGTTCAAATATGTTGAGAGTCAACAGTTTTAATGGGGTGTATTTACTTTTTCACATGATTATATAGTAGTTGGGGACAAATGTACAGTCCACCATCTGCCGCTAAGGTTTCCCCAAATTCATATTGCAAGACTACATTAACAAAGATGGCAAAATCCCATCTCTCTGCTATAGATGGGGAGAAAAAGCCTTGCACACGCTAGGTTATGGAAAGTTTAATATTTGAACAGAAATTGATCTGATCTAGAAAGGAAATGTCTACTGAAAAGGTGAACACCAGACAGGCTATTAAGTGCACAACTGAAATACAGATATAGAAGTTGTTTTACCTGCTGTGGGAGTTGTATTTTTACATCTATCAAGTCCTAACATTTGCACAGCCCTGGCGGCCATCACAGGAAGCCTGGTGACATTAATTTTCCCTACTGCAATTAAGAAAAATAGCTAGGTCCCCTCCCTGCCCCTTGCAGAACATCAGCAGACTCTTGGGCTCATACCTTCTATTTTCTTGTCAGCATGCTCTTTGTTAGATTTTTTTTTTCTCTACAGGAGATTACAAAGGCTGATCTCAATACAAATTAGATGCAACACCCCATAAGAAAATCTAGAACAACTAGAACAAAAAGCATGTATGGTTCCATAGCACTGCACAACTGTTGTGAGGAATGATTAGTCTTTGTTCTTGGTTCCAAAGAGGCCTACTATAGAAAAGTAGGCAAGAATATGTTGGATGGATATCAAGAATTTCCCATATGATCTCGCATAAATATCCGATCGCAAACAATCTGTTCAATTGTTACTCCTTTTTAAGGTATAGTTGTTACAATTAGATCCTCCTTCATACTGATGATGATGATTATGATGAGCATCAGCAAAGATTGTAGCATAGTTGTTGTAACGGTGCACCTGCTATGTATTCCTATTACAATGTTGGTACTAAAACAGGATAGTATATGCTGTGACTTTATATTTAGATTTCTTATAAAATTTTGTTTTAAAAAAAATCACCAAAAAAATAGCTGATGGGTATTCTTTACTAACCTCTTATAAATATATGATGGCTTCTGAAATTTCTATATTAAGAAGATACTGAGACTTCCCTTAGACCAAAACTTAAATAGAAAAAACCCTTAAATCCTCTCATGCTGGTGTTTTTTTTTTTCCTCTTCTATTAATCCATCAGGAAAAATTTGAAATTGCGAACTTGGAGCTCAAATCTGGAGAGAGTCTGAAGCTGAAGGGAAAACTTTCAGATGATGCCAAGAAGTAAGTCTCACGTAAGATCAATGGAGCAGACAAAATATGGAGCAGTTGCCTATGGCAACCAATCAGCTTCTATCTTTCATTTTCAAAGGTTACCTAAACAAAATGAAAAGAGAAGCTGATGGTTGCCATGGGCAACTGCCCCCAGATTCTGTCTGCTCCAGTTTTTATGAATTTCCCCTCATTGTGTTTATTTACGTGAGCATCTATTGCTTGCGCAGTAAATTAAAATGTCATCCTGATTATCTGACATTGTTGGAACTTTGGAATTATTATCTGGATGGAGTTTTTTAGTTTTTTGTTTTTTTAAATTTTGTTTTATTCTTGAGGAATAAAATGGTGACCTCCATACATTCCTGATGTAAACACAGTGAGGAAGCAAGCATTATGGAGCTCTATGTAGAAAAATCTAAAGCCCAGGAGCTGATAGTTTCCGGTCACTGGCAGTTCCAGTCTGAACCCAGGCCTTAAAGAACAAGTAACTGCGGCCCCAGCGTCGTTTAAGCATCTTTTATGGCATCTGGGATTCTTAAGAACTGCCTCCATCTTGGTACACCTCTTTCAATTTAAACAGCCTAACGAGACTGCTAAAGCTCTTTTCATAAGACAGCACCTGATAAAGCCCCTTAAAAGTGACTGGCACCACGATTACTATTTCTCATATCAAGATCCATTATAAAGGGACAGAAAAAAGAATGGACACCAGAGAAGAAGAAAGTTTAATTGATGTAAACCAATTCATTTAGCTAACAGAACCCAGTTTATTGAATATTTTCCTTCATCAAATAAGAACTTCGGCAAGAAAAACACTGACTGGTTAATTGGGCACACTGTCTATAATTTTAGAGATCTATTTAAAGTGACACTAAACATAGGAGATAAAGCTTAATGCATTAAAGTACCTTAACTACTAACAATGAGGGGAATTCATCAAAACTGGAGCAGAAAAAATCTGGAGCAGTTGTGCATGGCAACCAATCAGACTCTTTTATTGTTAAAACTTAATTGAAGAGAGAAGCTGATCCAGATTTTGTAAGCTCCAGTTTTGACAAATTCCCCTCAATGTATCTTAAGGTGCCCTGCACGATTATCGTACGATAAACGCAAAGTGTATGGAAGGCGGGCGCCCGTTTCTACTGTCCGGTCGCACGTCTTCCGTCGAACAAGCAGGCTGGAAAACCCGCCGAGAATCGTACGAGTTAGTGGACTGCTTGTTCGACAACTCCCGAACGGGCTGGTGTGCGCACGCGCACACTGCCTGTTTGCAGTCATCGGAAGCCCACCCCTCATTGCAGTCATCGGAGGCCCGCCCCTCAGATCACTCAGCTGTAGATCCTCAAATCATCTCTGAATTGGTGCTGACATGGTTCTTCCTTCTGGAGGGTGACTACTTTTGTTCCTCGTGGTCCTTGTGTGTGCTGTAAAGTAGCCACCACTCCAAGCTCACTCCTGTGATGAACTACGATCTCACATTTAGTTTACTACTTTGTATTGAGATTTTAGTCTTAACAGTGGAGCGAGCTTGGAGCGGTGGCTACTTAACACACACAGAAGCCATGGGGAACAAAAGTTGCCACCCTCCAGAAGGAAGGACAGTGTTGGGGTGAATTCAAAGATAATTTGGGAATCTACAGCCACAGGAATAAGATACATTTTTGTTAATAGTTAAGGTAATCAAATGCATTTTTAGGATCTAACTCCTGAGTATTTAGTGTCACTTGTTAAAGTATATGGCCAGCTTCATCATAAAGGGTATACCTGATAATCTGTCATTTTGATGCCCTGCTCTTTACCTGAGGTCCTATTTTTATCCATACAGCTTTTCCTTCAATTTGGGCACCAGCCCTGGTGATATTGGTCTACATTTTAACCCACGCCTAAATGAAAATGTAATTGTATGCAATTCCAAACGCAGCAACGGCTGGGAAGCCGAGCAAAGAAGTGGACACATGTGCTTTACACCGGGGACGGATATCAAGGTCAGTATGAAGAGATAAGCCATATGATAAGCCATATGATAAATACCTATGTCGTAATAATAAAAATGTGCTATTCTGTAAAGGTTACTTTGTGACACGGTCTATTTCGGTGTGGCATGTCATAACATTTAATCCATGCATTATTATAGTTCTCAGATAAAGAGCTATTACAGGGAACCGATTACAAACACAGCAAAGAAAACCAAAATACAATAGGTTGATATACTACATACCTGCTTAACCATAGGGAATTCCGGACCGAGTACATACAGTTTTAAGGTCCAACTCCAGCCAATACATTTTATTTTCGGAGAAGTAGGGAAGGGTCCAAGCCTATTTCAAGGTTTTTGTGGGGAAGAGTCCACCCTCCCACTTCCTGGTCAGGATAAAAACTTATTTTTGTAGACTGGAAAGGTGGCAGAACTGTGTTTTTATTGCTTTCTCTGCATTCTTGTTCTTGTCAACAGCTCTCTTGATTTCCTCTCCTGGTGTCACAGGGACAGGATGTTTGGGAAGACTTCTCTAATGGGTCACTGGCATACAAAAAAAAAACAAAGTTTAACTCTTCTTCTCTATAGAAATCCTGAAGAGAAAAGCTTAGGATCACAGGGCCAACATGCTTATTTTCACATTTAAAGGAGAACTATGATGAGTGCTTTTCACTTACCTCATAGTTCTAGCAGACCTGTGACAATGAGACTGTCACAGGTCGGCTCAGTAGATCGGGAGGTGAGCGAACACATAACGGTGTCCGCTCACCTCTCGATTCTGTCAGCTCTCTGACGTGACAGAGGAGGGGCTGGATTCCCCTCTCCCTGCTCCGATCTGCCAGCGCTGACTGACGCAACGGACGGGGGAGGGGGCGGGTACAGCTGGCTCTGCCTCTAGATAGGCAGAGCCAGCTGTCAGTCACGCAGCTGGGCAGATCCCGACACAATTGTCGGGATCCGCTTCAGCTGCGGCGTCTCAGTATACCGCAAGCTACAGCTCACGCTATACTGAGCCCAGGGTGACGGGAGGACGCTAGTTTGTGTCCTCCCGTTACCCTAAGGAGAACTATGGGGAAAAGCCTTATCCCCATAGTTCTCCTTTAAGGACCGCCTGAGTCTTGCACAATAGACTGGCTAATTGCCAATGAGATATGCCTCTCTTCCTGGCCACACCTCTTTCCACTTCATTACAGGAAGTTCAGAATATGCATGTTGATGCGTTGTGTTTGTAAGGTGAATAAACAGCTAGGGAATGGGCCATCTCCAGAGGAAGGAAGAGTTCTAGATGGAATAATTATTTTAAACTCCTGTGGATTCATTGGTTAAACGCTTTATATAAAGCAAACTTCATTCATTCATTCAGGGCTTCATTTCTATTGCAGATCTCAATCAAGTTTGGTGGTGACAAGTTTGATGTGAAGCTTCCTGATGGTCACGAAATCTCTTTCCCCAATCGCCATGGCTATGATAAACTTACATATCTCTCAGTCAAAGGAGACTTCAAAGTTAATTCTTTTAAATATGAATGATAACTCCTTTTATTACCTGGTCCAATAAAGATCATAGTGAAAAACAAATATCGTTATACCACATTGTGTCTGGGGCAGACCAAATGATAACCTGCTGTAATATGATAATATGGTGTTATATATGAACATTTAGTGTTCTAAAATTTCATAACTATGTTTAACATAGGTTAGAATAAAGGATGGAAGATGACTCACATTTTGTAAAGTGTGGGGTGTTTTGGTGGTTTATTTTTTTAAGCTAACCCAATTAAAATAAGTTAGAAATGTTACAGCACCAAGACAACCCAGAAAATTGTAAATACACATTTGGGGATTAATCCATATGCCAAATTGGAATCTAAGATGTGCATGTTTTAAGGTTAACCTAGGGAACCCCAAAGAAGCCGATAAAGCCGATCTACTTTACCAGCTTCTTCTCCAGCTACAGAAGCTGGAGAAATGACGGTCTGAAACCAGAAGTGATTTACTACACATCACTTCTAGATTTAGAGATCAGAGGGGAGATTAGCAGGGGGAACTGTGCTGATCTTCCTCCGATCTCAGAACTGCCATGTCGTTCCTGGGCCCTGCACTGGGGACAGAGGAGCCTGCAATCGCCGGCAGAGGGAGCACACACTTGCATACAACATACAAGCTCTATAACCCCCTGAACGCTTGTATGTAAAAACCCATTCTGGATGTTTAAAATGCTGACATTTTCCTGCTCATGCGTGCTGCCCAGGACATTTGAAAACACCCACCCACATTCAAGAGTGACCCCATCCAGCTGTTAAAGTACAATGGCCAGACAGGAAGGGGTTAATCATGGTTGGTCAGCTTTTCTTTTCTTTTTTGTTTTTGTTTTTCTTTCCTTCTGGTTTAATCCTCCCTCCGCCCTAGTCTCAAATATCAAGGCGGCAACTGCAAGTCACCAGAGGCATCAGTTGTTTAGGGGACATCCTTATTTGGCTTGCTATCCTCCAAAAGGCATGTCAATTGGCATCAACATGACAGGGCCTCTTAAGCCATGGTAATGCCAGACCAAAATTATTTTTATTTTTTTTAATTTTATTCTGGACTAGTAGCTTGAGGCCCAAGAGTGCTCTTGTACCAAGGCAGAAGCCTTTGCTAATGTTTTTTTTTGCTTCCTAAAATCTTCACAATATGCATATTTTGTTTTTTTCTTCCGTGTGATGGCCACGCATCCACAGTAACCATTTCTATGGGAAGCTAAATAAAGAATCTGTGCAGTAGCTTTCTAGAGGCAAAATTAAGGAAGGCAAAATAGTCATGGAGTTATTGTTAAGGTACCTGAGGCCTATTGAGACTGCTAATTTAGGTACCAAATATTTCTGTGCAAATGAGGTAATGAGGTATATTAGTAGGTACAAGCCTGCTATCAGCAACATGTTCTGAAGTATTTGGGTAGCAATCCTATATTTGCTTCGTAACCTAGCCACCAGTCATATCCTACTAGCAAGTATATCATAAACAATGGCTAATTTCCCTTTGTTACTAGAGAAAAGTACTTCAATGTTTGCTTAAGGTTTAACTTTCCAAGATAAGGTGAAGCATATGTAATTTAGGTGCCTTAACCTTCTGTTTACAGGGGACCTGCTAGTATAGAATGATCTTCTCTGCTTAATTTTAAGGGTGAAAACCTTTTATTAAAAACCCTAAATCTTTGATTTTTAGTTGCTAACTCAGAACAAGCAGGCAACCAGTGAACCAGGACCATCTGATATGCATACACTTATTCTAGGTTAGTAGCTCATAAATTTATGAAACAAGGTTGGAAGACCAGTTAGCACCTCCAAAAATAAGTCCGCAATAGTTGTTACCATGTTATTTATTCCACCCCTTTTTTTTAAATCCGTTTTTTTAAAGTTTTTCTTTTAACAGACAATATAAAAGGAATATCTATAACGCAAAAAAAAAAGAAACAAAACCAATAACAAAAAAAACCAAAGCATACTAACAAAATAAAAACCCCACATCCACCATTTGCACATACACTATATTACTAAAAGTATTGGGACGCCTGCCTTTACACACACATGAACTCTAATGGCATCCCAGTCTTAGTCCGTAGGGTTCAATATTGACTTGGCCCACCCTTTGCAGATATAACAGCTTCAACTCTTCTAGGAAGGCGTCCACAAGGTTTAGGAGTGTGCCTATAGGAGTGTTTCACCATTCTTCCAGAAGCGGAATCTTCCAGAATTTGTGAGGTCAGCTACTAATGTTGGAGGAGAAGGCCGGGCTCGCAGTCTTCACTCTAATTCATCCCAAAGGTGTTCTATCAGGTTCAGGTCAGGACTTTGTGCTGGCCAGTCAAGTTCCTCCACCCCAAACTCGCTCATCCATGTCTTTATGCACCTTCCTTTATGCACCTTCCAAAACTGCTCCCACAAACTTGGGAGCATGAAATTGTCCAAAATGTCTTGGTATGCCTTAAGAGTTCCCTTCACTGGAACTAAGGGGCCAAGCCCAACCACTGAAAAACAACCCCACACCATAATCCCTCCTCCACCAAACTTTACACTTGGCACAATGCAGTCAGGCAAGTACCGTTCTCCTGGCAACCGCCAAACCTAAACACATCCATCAGATTCAGACAGAGAAGCGTGATTCATCACTCCAGAGAACACGTCTCCATTTCTTTAGAGTCCAGTGGCGGTGTGCTTTACACCTTACCCATTCCATGAAGCTCTCTACGCACTGTTGTTGTGCCAATATGAAGGCCACACGAAGTTTGGAGGTCTGTAGCTGTTGACTCTGCAGACAAATGGCTACTTATGTGCACTGTGCGCTTCAGCATGCGCTGACCCTGCTCTGTCATTTTATGTGGCCTACCACTACTTGGCTGAGTTGCTGTTGTTCCCGGTTGCTTCCACTTTGTTATAATACCACTAACAGTTTACCATGGAATATTTAGTAGCAAGGAAATTTCACAGAACACCTGCATCCTGGAGGGTGTCCCAATACTTTTTGGTAATCTAGTGTATCTGTACAACCGTATCCAGGGGCTAACTCATTTAGGTCAGATCATCTAAGCACATATGAACATTTACATCACTGCTGTAATTCAAGAAAAGACATAGAAGCTTGGAACTATAATAGTCAGATTACATCTTGAACTGCCATATATGACACTCATATTACTAAATAATAATATAGAGAAATTCTAGAGTACTTTTAATGTGTATGGAAGTGTAGCCATCTAGACCAAAGTAAAAAGAATTTATCTCCACCCATCTCTCTATATTGATAGGTAATGCGCTCAAACATTACGATTTTATCTAACTCAGAGATCAATTCGGATAATGAAGGAGGCATGGTGGATATCCATTTCCTTGCCACCAGTCTCCCAGCGTTAAAAAAGACTGTGTGTATAGCCAATTTGGCATACGAATCCAGCAAAGGGATGTCAAAAATTGTATGCAAACACTGGGTGTGTTATATAACAGTATACCGAAGACAGAGTGAATGACCTTAAGCACTGCACCCCAATATTGGACCAATTTGGGACACCTCCACACTAAGGGCCCTGTCACACCATGTCCGGACCAGATCTGCACACGTTTCTGCAAGTGCGGTGTGTTTGTGATGCGTTTATGGCACGCTCCAGTGAATTTTTTTTAGGGGGTAATGTCATTACGCAAATTAATCTCTTCCTGCTCCACATCATAGCTTCTGTTGCGGTGCAGTAAGGTGTGTTTGTGACACGTTCGGGTGCGTTCCAGTGCAACAAAAATGTGACATGCAGCATTTTTTTTCCAGCCCTGAAAACAGACTAGACTTACTTATTTAACGTACAGTATCCTATCTGGACGTGGCGTGAATGGGCCCTTAGTGTGTCAGGGATCCTTGGCGGAAACCACATTTTGGACAAGAAGGGTCAATCTTGGCACCTATTTTGAGCAGGAACTCAGGGGTACGATAGGTCCTGTGCAAAATAAAAAGTTGGGTAAGTCTATAAGACGTGGATAAAGACACAGAGAGACTATCACTCACAGCACCCCTCCAGTCATCATCTGTAATAGGGCCTAGGTCATTCTCCCACTTACTCCTGACACTCAAAGGGGATTGTAGTGTTGAGTTGGTTAATAGGCAAATATATAGATAAGAAATAATACCCTTAGGAGGGCTCAAAATTTCAAGTCCTGAGCTACTAGCCAGGCCTTAAAAGTTACTCGCCACCAGTTGCCCCACCTAACCCCTACCCTGCCCCGGACTTAACTCTGCCGGGTCAGTGGTATGACACAGAGTACAGAGATCAGTAACAACGTGGAGTCCAGAGGCCAGCGGTGTGACGCACAGTACAAAGGTCAGCAGTACAGAGGTCAGTAATGTAACTCGGAGTGCATAGGTCAGCAGTGTTAAGCTGCCTATACACCTTACAACCTTTGCACGACTTTCGTTGTGGGATAATTGTAAGGTCATTAACATATAGTAGGATCTGCCCATCTTGGACAGGCAGATTGTACTTGCAATCATCGCAAGCCCTGCCCGCCGACACTCAAAGGGTCCCGCACTGCAGAAATGTACAGAGGTCAGCAGGATGACGCATAGTACAGAGGTCAGTAATGTAACACACAATACAGAGGTCAGCGGTACAGAGGTCAGTAATAAAGCACAGTACAGAGGTCAGCAATAACACACAGTTGAAAGTTCAGCAGTGTAAGGCAGAAAACACACGGTACAGAAGTCAGCAATAACGCACAGTGGAGAGGTCAGCGGTGTAAGGCAGAAGTACCGCACAGTGCAGAGGTCAGCAAAAACGCACAGTGCAGAGGTCAGCAAGAATGCACAGTGCAGAGGTCAGCAAGAACGCACCGTGCACATGGCTGACCTGATTCAGGTGTCCTTTTCTCCTGGGGAGGGGGGG